AGGGAGGAAGGAAGGAAGGAAGGAAGGACCGAGCGAGCGGTGGCGGTGGCGGTGGTGAGTGCCCGGGGGGGGGGACACACGACACGACACACGGGGATCCCCCCCTCTCTCGAGGGACAGGAGGATCCCCAGTTTGCGATGTGTGTGTGTGTATGTGTGGGTTGTGATCTCTAACGAGGGAGCCACATCTGGGCGGCAGGAGGGCTGTCGAGGGGAGCCGATCTCCCCCGTACACGCAACTTCGGGGGAGGGGGGGCGGAAAGACACGTGAAGAAAGAGAGAGAAACGTGTTCTTGGCCTTGGGCTCCTTAAACGCCCGGACTCTGCAGCCCACCTTCGACGCCTAGCTTTGCTCAGCTGTACGGTAACCCTTCCTCGCGGGCAATGGAGAGGGCGAAGGGTTTGCAGCCTTGGGAGTAAGGGGGATGGCGAGGAGGATGATTATTCAGCTTGTTCTGCAGTTTTAGTGCATTGGGGAACAAGCCCCGTTGGACTCTACTAAGTGAACTTCCACAGCATCTGCCTGCAAGCTTCTTTTCTGGTGGTTCATCCTTTGAGTATCATCCCACTTAGGAGGAAATTTGGGGAAAGGTGTTCCTGATCATCCTAAAACTCTTTTAAGATTTTTTTTGGGGGGCGGGAATGAAAAGGGGATCAGAGAGGTGAGGGAAGCATGGTTCAGGGAGGGGGGGGGAAATGAGTTGGAACTGCCCTTAAAACCAGCAGGAGTTTATTCCAGACAAGCATTGCAAGTTTTTGACATGTTTAGGGTGTTGGTGCTTTCATTCCGGACCTCCATGAATGGACCTTGATTTTGACTCCTTTTTTGGGGGTGCAGGGATGGGTGCAAACTAGCCAGCCTCTTTCTGCCAGGGTTTCACAACTTTGGGAAGTATTGGGGGGGGGGACACATGGAACCAACTGCCTTTCTATGGAGGGGGAGATGGAACCCAACCCGAAAATGTGCCAGAACTTGCAGGCTAGAAGCAGGGTGTTAAAAACACCCTTCAAACCTTTCAAGCATGTTTATTTTTTAAATAAAGTCTCTGCGTGCCAAGTCTTTTAAGAAGGGAGCCTGGTGGCACATCCACCCCTGGGTTCCTTCAGAGTCAGATGATGATGGTTTCCTCCTAAAGCAAATTCAAGACCCACCTTTTGTTATATAAGAGGCTGGATGTTGTTCATGAAGCAGGGCTGGTCTCAGAAAGGGTTGGTGTCCAGCCGGCAGAAGAAAGACTAGCTCAGGCCACTGATTGATCATCTGGATTTCTGCCGATTAATCGACTGGCGTGTGAATAATTGTGCATCTTAGCCAAGGATCCAAGGTGGTTTTTGAGCTCACGGGAGAGCCGCCCTTTTAAAATAAGCAGGAAGCCGGCACTGCTTTTATTCTGGATGGGGCTCCATCTTGTGCTGTTTTTCAGTTGCTCTGCTTTTTCCATTCACTGGTGTTTATTAGCCGAAATGTATAAAGCAACAGTGCCTGTTCAGGATGGCTCGGCACCCAGTTATTTATGCTTTGCATTTTAAGAGATCTCAGAGCGATGCTTTCTTAAATTTTAAAAAATGACTTGCCGGATGCGATCCCAAGGCTCACGAAGGCTTCTTGCCACGATCACGGGAAGAACCACAGAGATTAGTCATTTAGGATGTTGAATTGGGATGGGTGAGATCCTGGATGGGAGCGGCAGGGGAATCCTGAAACCCAGCTGGGTGACCTTCAACCAATTATTCTCTCAATGCCTGACTTTGTTGCAAACTTTTAATTAGGATGAAATGAGCCACAAGTGGAGGAGATCCATATAGATCAGCCTACACTCTTTCAAATTAAACAGGGATACAGTGGTGCCTCGCTAGACAGTTACCCCGCATGACAGTTTTTTCGCTAGACATTGACTTTTTGCGATTGCTATAACGATTCGCAAAACAGTGATTTCTATGGGGGAATTTCGCTGGACAATGTTTGGTTCCTGCTTCGCAAACTGATTTTTGCTAGACAACGATTTTGACAGCTCCCTCTGCGCTCGCAAGACAGTGATTTAAATAGCTGATTGGCGGTTCACAAAGCGGCTTTCCTATGGCCGATCTTCGCTAGACAACGATTCTTCCCCATTGGACTGCATTAAACAGGTTTCAATGCATTCCAAAGGGGAAATGCTTTTTGCTAGACAATGATTTCGGTAAACAGCGATTTCAGTGGAATGGATTATCATCGTCTAGTGAGGCACCACTGTATAATATTTCTCTCCCCACACCAGTAATGATTCACTTAATATTTTACCACCATGTCCAAAACCTGGAGAAAGACAAGGTTCTACAGATTGTGACTTTGTTGCCGACAGCAAAAGAGTGTCAAGATCCTAGTTAAATGGCAGATGTCAGAACATGTAGTTCCATCAGACGCAGCACCTTACTCTAAACCAGTAATCATAAAGAGCTCACTTTTTTTGAAAAGTTAGCAATGGGCCACACACTGTAATCCAAAGAAGTATAATTCATATGTATGCAGACCTCTTTCTGTTGTTGAGCTTCGAAGATTACAGGTGTTGTTTGACTTTGCCCCTTATCAGGCTGATTGAAATCAATTTTAGCGACCATCAGAGAAAGTTTCCTAAAATGAATACGTCAATAGCATTTCACACCATCCATTAGCACCGGATTGTCATGGGACCGCAGTCTAGTAAATGCTGGAAAAGGTGTAACATTCCAGGACCGTACTCCCTCCTGTCATTTTGTGTTTCCAGCTAATAGATATGTTTGGAAAACCTGCATGATCTCAAATAACAGCATTAGTGAACCAAAATACCACAATGAGCCCCGAGCCAGCTTTGCAGAATATCTCCCGAGAGCCCAACAGATCCCTCCTTCTTGTGGATTTAATGGTATATTTGCTGGGAGCAACTAGACTTGAAATGGCCAAATGCCAGGAAATGTTTCAAGAAAGACAAAGGGTGTGGTGTGTGGCACCGACTGGAGCAGACAGGCGACAAAGGAACAAGATGAGGCAGGTAAGGCCCAGTTCCCTTTGCAAAAAGTCAGGACAACATGAAAACAATTACCATGCTGGAGGACAGCTTCCTTCTTTCCCTCGTCTGCCGAAGACAAGCCCCTCCGGACAAATACTGATCAGAGTTTTTCAGCCCTTGTGTTGTAAAGTTCCTTTCAGTCGGAAAATTACTGCAATTCACAAAAAAAGCAGCCAGCCTTTGTGTTGACATTTTCATTCCATGCTGTTTCTATTGGATTTTCCGTCCTTTCAGAAAACATAAACAGAAACCTGCAAGTGGTTACAAGCTTGCTAATTAAATACTTCTAAATATGGGCAGGGCTGGGGATTAGATTCTCTAGATCCTTTCTCCCCAATGTGCCCCTCTCCTTTATGTGGGGAAGAGTCATTCTTCATGGGGTGTGTGTGTGTTCTCCCCCCTTCCTTTTTTTTTTTAAAGATGAACACCACACAATATTGGCACCCCCAACTGAAATAATATGGCCTAAAGCTCTGCAGGTATCATTCAGTGCAGATTATCAACCACACCATTTAAATCTTGCAGCTTTTATGATTCCAAATTACAAGTTACATTTGGGCCATCAGACAGCTTATCTTTAGGGAAACTGCTGGGTTCTAGTGCTCTCAGATCATACGTATAGTATAAAACATATAACGCTATGACCTGTTTCCTTTTTCAAACCTCTTGTGGCTAGTTTATTCGGTTAAATAGTGGTTCTGTGGGCAAATTATTAAACAGTGGTGACCCACCGGCAACAACAGCGGGCAAAAATGGCTTCGCATCACATCGCGGGAATGGGCTATAGCTGTGTGCTACAAGTCCTTCGGCAGGTAGGACTGGGAAAATCACGTTATTGAGAGATGGGCTGATTTGTGTTAAGATGAGGTGCCTGGGGAATTCTGGAAGTTGTAGTCCAAAAGCAGACACACACATACACACGTCCCCACGGCCTGCCACCTTGACTTGGGGTAGTGAGTGAGACAAGAGTGTTAGGCACCAGATGTGGGAAGTGGCGAGAGTAGCAGCCCATAAGGCTATTCCTTCTGAGCCCCCTATATGAGTGGTTCCCCAACCTTGGGCCTCCAGATGTTCTTGGACTACAACTCCCAGAAGCCTTCACCACCACCTCTTTTGGCCAGGATTTCTGGGAGTTGAAGTCCAAGAACATCTGGAGGCCCAAGGCTGGGGACCACTGATATGGCTGCCTCAGGTGTGCTGAAGGACACCATCTCATCAACTGCAAACTCCGTCTTCTCGGAACCCATCGTTGGGTTCTGTGACTCAGGTGGCAGAGCATCTTGCGATGGCCCCCTACTCGTTGGACCAGTCCAGTTCGGGTCTGAAATAGCGCAAGCGTCTTGTACCGTGATGTGATTTCAAAGCTCAGAAAAAAAAAAAGGATTTGGACAAAAGCCAACAGAATTCTTCTCATCCGACGGGAGTAGTTCGGGGGGTTTCAGTTTAAAAAGTGAACATTTGCAAACCCTGCTTGATTCGGCGTGGAAGGAGCCTCCGCATTTCCTTCCCGCTCAGAGCGTTGCAAAACCGCGGCTGTGCTTGGATGAAATGATCTCAGCCAGGAAGCCATTTGGCAAGAATGCTCATTCAGGCCTTAGGAACTGTGGACCAGGTCTTTATTAGCTGTTTCTGGCAGGGGATGAAAAGGGCCCTTTGAGCATGTGAAGCAACAACGGAAGGAATTTCCAGGAAGAAAGAGAGACTCCGTGGGTTGTTGTTTAGCAGAGCTGGAAACCATGAAGGTCAGACTATGGTTTTAAAAGTATCATCAGGGCTAATGATGTTGTCATTTCCAAAATATTTTGCAGGCTTTGCTGGGGAAAAAAAAAAAAGAAATGCAAGAAAGAGGGCAGTTTCTCTTTTCTTTGTGACAGGACTGTTTTGTACAAATTTGTTGTTTCACATGTCCTTGGGAACCCATCCTAAGCCTCAGAAAGTGGGATGGGACAATCTCTAAATTACTCCAGGATTTATAATGTCCTCTTGAGAATTTAATTCTAGGTTTCTTTTGCTGAAAGCTGCCAACCAGCTTCCTCTGGACGTTTGCAAGTATAGGAAGCTCCCTAGTGAGTCCTTGCTTTCCGCTTCTGGCATCTCACAGGTACACTGTATCTGAACATGGATGTTCCATACTCAGCAGCTACGGTGGCTGAAAACTAAACCTACGGAAAAACTACCTAATGAGTCTGGTCCTTTTTCAGCTTTTCCCCATTACCTTGAAACTTGCCCATTTGTTCCAGGGAGAAATGGAAGTATGATTAATGGAAGCATAATTAGACAATTCAGTGTTGCTTTAATGAGTGTCAGTACATTAGATAAGTGTCATCTGCTTTTGTGGTCTCGTTTTGCTTTCATCCAGGGAAAATGTTCTGTTTTACAGTGCAATCCTGCGTATATTTATTCAGGACTAAGTCTTGTTGTGTTCACTGCGGCCAGCCTCTCTGGAAAGAGGCACTAGTTCGAAATTTGCGACCGAGCACGCCCCCTTTAACTAGTCCCAGATAAACTGTCGGTGTGGTTTTTAACCCTTTGCCATCCAAAGCTGCCGTTTTGACCCCAAGCCCGCTAGTCTTTAATGTGCCACCACATCTTTTTGCTCGTGTTTTGTGTTTCCCCTTAAAGGGCTGGCGCAGACTTCAACTTCAAAAACCGCAAACATGTGACTTGCATTGTTTCAAAGGCTGAACAAAAAAACAAACAAACCCGGCATAACTTCCTCTTCTCTTCCTTGAAAAGGTTTGCTTCTCCGGAGCTTTGAGGGTTCGCCCTTCCCGCCATGGCAACGATTGTCTCGGAAAAGCTGGGCCACCTTTTCCTCAACATCCAGCACTTCTGGAAGGTTCCTCGGCTCCTGGAGGAGGCGCTCCCCTCTTCCGCCTGCACCGTGGGGGCGTCGGACGTGCCCCGGGTTTTCCAGAAGCCTTATATCCACGCCGGCTACCGGCCCCTTCACCGGACCTGGAGGTATTACTTCCTGTCGCTCTTCCAGCGGCACAACGAGGCCATCAACGTCTGGACGCACCTGGTGGCCGCCCTGGTGTTGGTGGTGAGGTTCTGGCGGCTCTCCCAGGCCGTGGACTTCTGGGGCGACCCCCACACCCAGCCCCTCTTCGTCATCGCCACCTCGTCCATCGTCTACTCCTCGTTCAGCAGCCTGGCGCACCTCTTGCAGGCCAAGTCCGAGTTTTGGCACTGCGCCTTCTTCTTCCTGGACTACGTGGGCGTGGCCACCTACCAGTACAGCAGCGCCCTGGTCCACTACTATTACGCCATCGAGCCCGAGTGGCACGCACGGATTGCTGGCTTCTACATCCCGGGCGCGGTGTTGCTGGCCTGGCTCTCCTGTGCCGGCTCCTGTTACGCTAAATACCGGTGCCCGCACCTCTCTTCTGTCGTGGGCCGGCTTTGCCAGGAGATGCCCTCGGCCGTGGCGTACGCCTTGGATATCAGCCCCGTGCTCCACCGCATTTATGCCTCTTCTTCCTCTCCTCCTCCTGCCGGACCGGTGGACGTGGCTCTCTTGTATCATAAGTGCCACGTCTCCTTCTTCCTCATCGGGGCCTTCTTTTTCGCCTACCCCTACCCCGAGAAATGGTTTCCGGGCAAGTGCCATTTCGTCGGCCAGGGGCACCAGATCTTCCACGTCTTCCTGATCCTTTGCACCCTCACCCAGGTGGAGGCGGTTCTGTTGGATTATGAGACGCGGCGGCCCGTCTACGCCCGGCTGCACGGCGGCCTGGCCCCTCTTTTCTCCTCCCTGTGCCTTCTGGTGGTGTCTTGCTGCAGCCTCACCGCACTCTACATGACGGCCAAAGTGAAGCGCAAGCTGCGCCAGAAGCAGGAGTGAGGCGGGTTCCTTTGCTGGCGAGGGAGGGTGGACTAGATGACCTTCCACACCCCTTCCAACTCTACAGCTGTGCGATTCTATGGTTCTGTGGTGCAAGGTGGGTGGGTGGCAACCAGCCGCTGATGTCTGAGATGTCCTCATCCTGGACATATCAGGGCCCCCATCATTTAGGAAATTACATGTTTTGCTTTACACAGCTGGCTCTCTTCTTGTGAGCCTTCCTTCTGGCAGAGCAGCTGTGGGATTAGATCAAAAATTCCATCAGAGAAGAAGTGGCATGCACACATCTCTCTCTTGTGGGGAAAACTGGACCCTTGGATATAATAGGAATGGTATTTTACGGGAAGCAATTTTGTCTTGCAGGGAAAAGATGTAATTCACACACTGCCCCAATACCTAAATAACCTCCCTTGCTGGCCTTCTACATCAGGGGTGAACAGATTTCAGGTTTGTGAAATCTTTTTTTTTTAATTAGGGTCTCATGATTCACCAGCTGGCGCCTGGTGCAAAAAGGCATCACTTAGGTTCAAATTAGATGACCCATGTAGCATGTTTTTAGAAGAGGTGCTCTTGCAAATGATGAAACTTGTCTGATTGTTTGCTCTTACTCACCTATGCATCTTGCATTAAGTGTGCTTTGTTTTGAGGCTGGTTATTGGAATGCAAACAGCGGCAGACATGGCAAGTCTGGTTGCTGAGGCACATCTCTCTGAGGAACACCACTGCCTGAGAGAAAAATACATGGGTTAAAAGAATATGCATTCTCTTTAATGTCCAGTTTGACCCTTAGAATTCAAGATTTCTTAGCGCAAATTTTTGTGCTAAGGAGCTAAACTGAATGGCGCTCCCATGGTTCAGAAACGAAAATTAGCTCTCAGTTACTCAAAGGGTCCTTCCCTTTTGGTAGTTTAATTTAGGAAACGTAAGCCACCTTTTTTGTGGTTATTTTAAAAATGAAATTGGAGTTAGAAATCCTTGAAAATCTACTGCCAGCAGATCCTCAACAGAGATTTTATCGTATCAGTTACTTAACTAAGGCGAGCACTTCAAGTATGTTTGGCCCAGAAATCAGAAAGGCACTTTGGTTGAATGAAAGGGACCCAGAATCCCCCAGGTCACAGTGGCTTCAGAATTGTGGCAAATCCAGGGATTTTCCCCTGGACAAATGCTGACCCCGCTCAGTGCTCACACACAGCCCCTTCGGTGCTCCTCTGTCATGTCTGAATATATTATAGGCCTTTGATTCTGTAGTCCTCTAATCAATGCCCTCCTTCTGGCTCATCAAAGCCGACAGAAGGAGCCTTGCGAGAAAGGGTCAAGGTGGAGGACCTTTACATCTTGCCCTTTTCTTTTTCTTTGGCTGAGAGGGTCTTTGTGCAAGAGAATATTCCGTCTTCTCTTGGGACCCCTGCTTACCCTGTTGGTTTGTGTGTGGCAACGGTAAAGTGGCCCTGCAGGAAACCGCCAAGTGGACTTGCCTTAAGGAGTTTGCAGGGAGGGGTGGGGTGGGGCTCCTTGGTTATCGCTGAGTTGAAGTGTTTGCTCGAGTTGTACTGTTTGCTCCTAGGAGAGAATAGTTTGAGCCAAGGTCACAGGTCCAAGGATAACTGGGGACAGACAATCTTCAAGGGCTGGCTGTTTTTAATAAAGCAAAATAAAGACACAGCCAGATCCGAGGGCCGTTGCACCCAGCAGTCTTTCTTCCAGCGGGGGATACGGGGAGCGGTCTTAGATCGGGTTGAGCACAAGTTTTATCCGGCTAGCCCGGAAACGTCTGTTTTGAGCCACAGCTTAGAAACTTTGCTGTTATGGATTTCAAACACCCCCAGAATTCTCTAGCCAGAGGGTTTGGAGCCTTCTGGGAGTTGCAGTCCCCAAAAACCGAACGTTCCCAAGCTCTCTGATTCTGATTCGTGACACCTCTCCGGAGTCCTGGGCCAAAAGTTGAGCTCGGCTCCTGCTCTGTGGTTGTTGCTTAACTAGTGATACCAAGACATGAGTTGTGGATCTTCTTCCTGCAGAACGTGGTGCTCAGCCACTAAGCTCCGGTCCGTCCCCAGTCTACTGCCACCACCAAACAGATCGGTTGGAGATGGCGGTTCTCTCACGATCCTCCCTGGTTTCGCAGAGGTGTCACTTATTCACTTGTTCCTCTGCAAGTATATCTTGATTCTGTTCAAAACCTGTTGAAAGCTCACCTCTGCTTGTGGGTATCTCGGCACCTTGTGCTGGTGAATGGCAGGTTGTTTGTACGATGCAGTGGCAGATATGTTGAGAGTGTTCCACCCCTGTATTTCATCCCCCGGTGGCTTGGAGTTGTAAGCTAAATAAAAACTCCAGTGGACCACAGATGCCCAGATGCTCTTGATTTAGAGGCATTAAAGAAGGTTTTGCTTTGGCATCAGCACCCAAATGGTTGATACAGTTTACTGCCAAGGAAAAGGATCGCAGCCTTAAAAAGTGTAGATTACATGTATTAATTCTTCAAAGATGGGTTGAAGTTAAAAATAATCTAAGTCAGTGTGTAAGTACTCTTGAAAGGCCCCTGGCATATGACGTGATGTGTTCGATTCATATTGGGTTGTTGTGTTCCCATTGAATCCGTTGGGACGTAGGCTAGGACCAGTGAAGACATCTTGTTGATTTCTGTGGGATTCCAGGGCGACGAACACAGATGGCATCCAATTCACTCGCAGAACCCTGCCGTGAAATCAAGCGTGCATAATAGTGCAGTTATTGCAATTTGCCAGCTGCCAGATGTGCACCAGGTTGCACAAAGGGGTCAAATTGCACAACTATGCAAATTGCACAACTATAGGGCATGCAGCAAAGGGCGGTGGGGTGCGCAACAGAGAGCCAGCAAGCTGTCTCAGGGGTCCTTTGGAGCAGACTAGTGCAGGCTACATAGGGTCTCTAAGGGTCAAATAGAGATCCTGTTTCTTTGCATCCTACGTGGCATCCACACCTTAAGCAACCCTATTTGGTCTGCCTCCTTTAAGAAAGTAAAGAAAAGAAAAGCTATAAAGAAAGGGGGGGAATCCCACTCTTTAGCCTGCCTCTCCTGTCTCCACTGTAGAAGATGCAGCATCATCAGCACTGCCCTAATTGGCTTTTAAAATACTTTTGGTTTTGCCTCCTCCCTCTGCTCTCAGAACAGAGGAAGGAAGTTATTAAATTTCCCAGATATTCCCTATCATTAAGTGGCTAAGCTGCCTGCTTAATCACTAATGATATGGGGAAATTGGAACCACCTGGGAAATGGAAGCTTGCTTTGGTTTGGTCCCATCAACTGCATGTGCTGGAAATGTACCAAAATGAAGCAAAGCTACCTGCAACTGACAGGGGCTCAGAAAAGTCCAGGCAGGGACACTGCGGTGGTGGGCTGGTTTGCTCTAGGAAATACGTCATCTGATCACTGGCGAAATGAACAAACCAGCCCATCCTTGCAGCAGGACAGATGCCCATAACATAGTAGGGTTCTGAAAGCTCAGAAAAGGTGCAAGCGTCACAATCCCCTCTTGGGATTGTTCCACCTCCAAATGCCGATAAGGAATTCCTCCTGCTACTGCTGCTTTTCGAAATCATCTTTGAAATTCTATCGTAAAGCTAGATTTCTGTAGAGTAGCTTTCCTCAATCCAGATACGTTCCAGACACATCGGACATGGCTTGGGTGGGAATGAGGGCAGTTCGAAATCCAACATACCTAGAAGGCACACACGGAGCCAAGCCTGGCATTTTAAAAAGCCTTGATACATCAGTGCGCACAAGTTGTAGCCACTGTTCACACACAGAGCACTTAGGGAATATTATATAACTAATATCCTGAAACGGCCATATTGATTATGAGAGAATTTCCAATTAAAATATGAAACGGATGCCGTCAGGGAGAAAAGATGTTTTCTTTCTGATGTGACAGCTTCCCACAGGCAGTGATTTTTAATGCCAAGCATTAAAATGAATGCATACCCATACAGAAATGGTAAAGTGGTATTAATTTCAAGAAGGCTGTTCCAGGTTGCATTTTGGAATATGTGAGATTTAATCCAACTGGTAGTGGTGCAGTTGAATTTGTAAAGTTAAATCTCAGAGCTTTACAAGCTTTTACAGAAAGAAAACTGGAAAAAAAAATATGCCAGATTTTTGTGTATTTCTCCCTGCTACTGTCTTGTATTTTATACATTTTAATGGGCCTGATGCCGTCACTTGTTTCTATAAAATACTTTTCACATGTTTTGAAGTGCTCTGTCTTGTTTATCATGCGCTGTGGTCCTTTCAGTAGAAGTATAATTAGAGGCTTGTTCAAGCCTTATGGAATCCAGTTGTTCAACACACTTATAAGGGAACACCTAGCTCCATTGTTCCATTGCAGCTTTCTCCATTGGACGCCGCCGGCTCTCCACACAAACAAGATTCCTGGAAAATCTGGTTTCCTCGTCACGTGGAGCATCTCGACTTGTCCAAGGACCTCTCCTTGACATAGTTTAAAATGAGTTAAACAAAGGGGTGCTGTAACAGCATGTTGCAGTGTTGAGTAAGGATGGTTTTTAAAAATCTGGACTATAATAAATTATAATTCTCTATACTGGGATTTCCAGCTGACTGACAGACGCCTAAATGTGGCTCTGCTGGGGGGAAAGGCCTAAACTGGAAGGCTTTGAGGTTTAGCTAGGCCTAGTTCCGTCCACGTTTCCTGTTTCTGTCCCAGTGCTAGATGGGAGCTTTCCTTCTGAACAGGAAGCTTAGACAGAACTATGCCTTGCTAACCCTCAGCACCTTCCCCAGGTCAACCCCATAGAAGTGCTTGTAAAGTATCTGTCTGCCAGGTAGAACTCCAAAAACAGAGTGTTATGGGATATGTCGTGAAGTAGAAAAATCCCTCCCCTAATATGGGGTGCCTCTGAGAATTCCAACCCACACGATGCCCTCGTCTGTTTCACTCTCCGCTCCATCGCCCTTGGTCCTCCTGTGGGGCACGTTCTCCCCATCTTTCGTGCCCCATCCCCTGCCAATAAGTGAGGTTCTACAGCAGCTGGCAACTTGTTGTTGTTTAGTCATTTAGTCGTGTCCGACTCTTTGTGACCCCATGGACCAGAGCACGCCAGGCCCTCCTGTCTTCCACTGCCTCCCGGAGTTTGGTCAAATTCATGTTGGTCGCTTCGGTGACACTGTCCATCCATCTCATCCTCTGTCATCCCTTTCTCCTCTTGCCCCCACACTTTCCCAACATCAGAGTCTTTTCCAGGGAGTCTTCTCTTCTCATGAGATGGCCAAAGTATTGGAGCCTCAGCTTCAGGATCTGTCCTTCCAGGGAGCACTCAGGGTTCATTTCCTTCAAAATGGATAGGTTTGTTCTCCTTGCAGTCCAGGGGACTCTCAAGAGTCTCCTCCAGCACCACAATTCAAAGGCATCAATTCTTCGGCGGTCTGCTTTCTTTATGGTCCAGCTCTCACATCCATACATCACAACAGGATGTGAGTAGCTGGCAACTACTCACCTGTTATAATGATATTATTCCTATGACAGCTGTAAACAGAAGCATACATGATCTCCTGGGTTACAAGAGAGTTTTTTTTTACCGGCTCTTTCCATTAGGGATACCATTCTATAGAGCCTGGAGCCAAAGTTTGTAAAGTTACTTTTAAGATGAATGGATATAATTACATGTTGAAGCCACCTGTATAGGAGCAGCGGTAGGGTAATGTCCTGGATCCCAAAGCATCACCCTACCATCGCTCTGTTGTATGAGCAGTGGTAGGATAACGCAGTACATCCCGGAGAGCCTACCATTGCTCAGTTATAGATGGCTTGACTATAACATTACACGGATTCTTTTAAAAAGTAACTTTCCAGGTTGTCCCTGGATCTCTCTATTCATGTAAAAAAAAAATTCTGCTCACCTGGTGTCCTCCTTATGGACTGAACTACAATCACCATGCTCCCCAGCAAGCATGGCCATGTCGGGGACATGGGTTTGGGGAAGGCAGATGCAGAGAATGTGGAGTGCACAAAACTCAGTAGCGTCAAGGTTTCCTCCGCCCACTGTTATCTGACTGCTTTCTGAACTCTTGTGTGCACACAGAAGCATCCATTTGCTAGATGGCTGGCCGTGTCAGTCCATAGCAGCCAAAATCTACAGCCAACCCAGGCTTTCACACACGCACAGGTGGGTATGTGTGCACATGTGTGTGTATGAGTATGTATTATATGATCACTCTACCCAGTGTATAGATAGATGGTCAATAAGAGATCCATCTTGTCCCCTTCATATTAACTCTAATAATAAGCTTATTCTGGTCGTATGACCTGGTCAGATACACACCAACTAACTTACATGCAATAATAAAGAACACAGTTTTTTTAAAAAAGCAATGATCATATTAACTATTTATTTAGATGGCTTTTATACTGCCCATCTAGACGAATCTAGTCTGAGCAGTTACAGTCTCCAAAAGGCAATAAAATTACAATCATCCATAAAAAGACTAAAACAAGAGGGGGGGGAATTAAGCAAAAATGAACTAATGGTGACCCCTCCTTTCCTTTAATCATGGCCTATCCAGAGATTGCTGTTGTTTTGCAACTCAGCTGCACCATTTCTAAAAGCTGGAAGTCACTTCTTGTGCCCTGTATTCTTAGAAAAGTAATTAATGGCATGAAATGACAGCCTTTCTAGTATTTGAAAAGTGCTGCCATCTCTCCCTTCAGTCAAAGTATTTGAAAAGTGCTGTCATCTCTCCCTTCAGTCTTCGTCTCTCAAGGCTAAACATGCCCAATTCCTTCAGTCTTTCCTCATAGGGCTTAGTTTCCGGGCCCCTCATCATCCTTCTTGCCTTCCTCTGAACTTGTTCCAATTTGTCAGCATCCTTCTTGAAGTGGGGTGTCCAGAACTGGACACAGGACTCAAGGTGAGGCCTAACCAGTGCTGAGTAGAAGGGGACCAGCACCTCGTGGGGTTTGGAGACTCCACTTCTGTCAATGCAGCCTAAAATAACATTTGCCTTTTTTTGCACACAAAGCGCTCTTAGTCCAAGGCTAAACGATTTGGTGAGTTTAAGTTGCTTTATTGCTATTCATTGTTTGCTTTGTTTCCATAGTAACTTAAAAAAAAAACTCTTAACATTTTTCAGTAGAGAGGCTTTATTTCCCCCACATTTATTTCTGTGTTTTCCTGTTTTTTTAAAAGGGGAAGGGAAATTCCCCCCCAAAAAAGAGAGTGAGAAAAGACATTTGTTTAAATCAAAATGCTATGGCTTAATTTATCCCCCAAAATAAGGAAATTCAGCATATCCCTCTTTTCAGTCAGAACATAGTTCTTGTGCCTTAACTTCCATTTCAAATGAACATTACAGCTTAATCCTACTAGCCACACTAGGGTGTATATAATAATCATCATTATATGCAGTCAAATCAGTTTTAACTTACCTTTCCAGGTATAAAATGCTCAGAAGCGGCTTACCTTTCCCTTTTTCTGGGTTCACTCTGAGACTGTGCAGCTTGTTAGTTGTTCTGACAGAAGGCACGGTAAGAAATTACATTATTGACCCCTGGCTCAACAAGCAGGTAGTCAACCCATTGAGCTCTATAATAATTGTGTGCCATCAATTCTGACTTATGGCGACCCTTTCCAAGGTTTCACAGGTAGAGTATATGCAGAAGTGGATTTAGCCTTCCTTTCTTCTGGGGGTGCCCTGGGTCTATGCAGCTTGCCCAAGGCCATACAGGATGGTTCTTCTGGGAATGCACAGTGGGGGAATCAAACTCCCAACCTCTGATACATACAACTCTCTGCGCTATCCAGCCAGCTCACAGTGCCATAGCGCTATACCAATCAGGGTCGGTCCGCTTCGCCATCTCCGATGTATCGTGTAACCACCAGGAAATAACTCACACCCGACCGTGCCACAAGCAGTCCAAAACATGAGCTATTCCTCTGTCTGGTCACACCCTCCGCTTCTCCTACCTTGCAGGGTTGTTGCGAAGATAGAGAGGAGGAGAAAATGTATGCAAGGTCCAAATGAAATTAAGGAGAACAACCACATGTTTGTGCGTGCCCTTTGGTGTTGTGCATGTTTGTGTGTGTGTGTGTGTGTGTGTGTGGTGTGTGTGTGTGTGTGTGTGTGTGTGTGTGTGTGTGTGTGTGTGTGTGTGTGTGTGTGTGTGTGTGTGCGTGCAAACACAGACATATTGCCCATATCCATCCGGTCCCTGGGCCATCAACCCATCACTTTCTGGCCACAAAGTTTGAGCACCCTTGACATTAAGGAGTAGACTTGATCTGCCTGAATGATCAGCTGATGACTCAGGGGTCCCGGACCTTCTTGGGTTTTTGCCCTTCGTCCAGCTGGTCTTCTTCGAAGAAGCCGCGGGGGAAAGGAAGGGATGAGTCATCGTATATACAGGGGAACAGTCTTTCCTGGTGTTCACACAAGATAAAGCGCTGCACGCTTGGCTCCATGGAAGGGCACCCAGCTCTCTTGCAGGATCAGTACCAGCTTGTTAGAAGGGGCCCTGCCTGCCCTCCCTGGACCTTCTTATAAATCATGGAATGGAGGAAGCTTCTGTTTTAATTTCGAAAATAGATTTCCTAGGCTTCGGAGTCCACCTCCCATACTGGGGCTTTTAGGCCGTGTCCCTAAATATCATCCCTCCTTCCCTCCCTCCACCCCCAGTTTAAAGAAAGAAAGTCAAGCTAGGAAGCTTGCCGATAATGTTGCAAACGTGTTGTTTATCACAACATTTAAGATAGCAAGAGTACTGTATCCTGTGGCCAGGAATAACAGCCACCGAAGTCCAATCTTGGAGGTTGCAGAAGGGTCGCCTCAGACTCCGGCTGGGAGGGCGTTGCAGTCCGAGAACATCCAAGGAGCTGCACTCGGTCAACCCTTGCTTGCCGAAGGAACAATATCTTGGCCCTCTTTTCTGCCTTTACACGCTCGGGATAATAATGTTGTGCCGTCAAGTCAATTCTGACTTTTCTACATAGGGAGTACTCAGAGGTGGTTCCCTGTTCCCTTCTTCTGGGGGCAGTTCTGGGATTATGCAACTGGCCCAAGGCTACCCAGGCTGGCTGTTCTCCCAGGAGGCCCAGTGGAGGAATTGAACACCCAAACTTTGGCTCCACTGCCAGAAATCTAACTCACTGAATATCCAGCCAGCTACAGCAGGGAGGCTAAAGCAAAATGTGGGGCAGCTCTCTCTCTCTCTCCTTCCCTCTGTCAGGAAACAATGTGAGTCATAGCCTTCCAGTATATCTAGAGCTAGGTTGGGCTACTTTGAGCTCATGAGCCGCATCTGTTCTTGGTTGGCATGAGGGAATACCCTCGATACAACACTTCTGAGGAATAATCACCCTTTCACACAAAGAATCTCTATCTCCCTTTGTATCAGATGAAACTGCATCTGGCGTCCTGGTCTGCATCCTAGTCAAACAGATACTTTTTGGAAGCTCATAAACTGGGAGTAAATGCGGCATCTCTTTACCCGTTTCCTTCTCTGGGAATTAGTACACGGTGGTGTAGGTTACAGGTAACTATCCTAACTAATGTTGTTGTTGTTTAGTTGTGTCCGACTCTTCGTGGCCCCATGGACCAGAGCATGCCAGGCCCT